AAACAGAAGCAGATGAATAGCCCTTTGAAGGCAGAAGAGAGAAAACATTCTGGAAAGGGCTCAAACCTAACAATCCAGATGCAGGCTTTCATTATTTTGCTTCATCTTTAAGTGGAAGGAGGGGAAATCTGGAATAAAATGGCCTCTGCAGGAATGGCTTTTAATTGCATCACGCGGGCCAAGAAATGGGACCCTGAAAATGCAGTTTTTCCCCCCCAGTAGCTGAAGTCGAAATTCTAGATGGAAGTACTTTGTGAAAGTGCTCTGCTCTTAATGAAGATACCTTGACTGAGCCAGGATCTCTAGGTAATCAGAGATTGTCCTGCTTGAGACCTGAGCAGCACACGTTCCTTACTGGAGAAGGCTCTTCTTTACCAAGCACAGCAGGTGGGTACTGAGACCACAAAGGGCCTTCACTCTGTCTCTTGCCTGCTCTCACACCAGTTCCTATCCCTACCTCCTGATTTCTTCTTCTTCAGATTCCCAGCTGCTATGGACTAAATATTTGTGTCCTCCTGCAATCACCGGTTAAACCTAATCTTTCAGGGGTGATTAGGTGATGAGAGTGTAGGCTGCCTAAATGGGATTAGTGCCCTAATGAAAGTGACCCCAGAGAACTCCCTTGACCCTTCTATCATCTAAGGACACAGTCAAAAGACTGCCGTTTATGAACCAAGAAGAGGATTCTCACCAGACAGAATCTGCTGATTGGTGCCTTGATCTTGTACTTCTAGCCTCCTGAACTGTGAGAAATGTTTCTGTTGTCTATAAACCACCCAGTCTATGGTATTCCGTTATGGCAGCCAGGACAGAATAAGACAGCATCCTAGTGAAACTTGGAGGCTTGCAAATGCAGTCTCTCCTTTTTTGGGAGAACATTTCAATCAGCTCCATTCAAGAGATATGGACAGAGTGCCTCTGTGTCTGCCAGGTACCGGGCCACACTCAGATTTCAGTGATCAACAAAATAGACAAAACCCCCAAACTCGCAGGCATTTCATTTAAAGTCTATGTTTGGAGACATTTGTTTACACTATGAATTTGTGCTACAATATTTCTAAAAACGTGTGTGTCTTTGAAATTTTGTTTTACAACTAGAGGAATTATCCTTTTAAAGGGGGTCTTACTAGAAGTATTTACTTTTTAGATGAATAATCTCACCTAAGTGGTATCGTATATGTCCTATGTTTTCATGTTTGGTTTTCTAAAGAGAAGCATATTTCTTAATATGTGAGGAAAACTTTTTTTTTTTTTTTTTAAGATTTTAAGTAATCTCTACATTCAACATGGGACTTGAACTTACAACCCCGAGATCAAGAGTTGCATGTTCTACCAGCTAAGCCATCCAGGCGTCCCTATGAGGAAAGCTTTTTACAGAGAAGTGTATACTGCATTTGGGGCTAACGATTGCGTATTGGAATGTGGGAAGTTGCTGTTAGTCATGTTTCTCTGCAAGTCATAGGCCACTTTACACAGAAAATGTTTTTACCAACCATACAATGATAAAAGACAACCACTAGTAGTCGCTGCAAGCTCACTCCTTTGGCCCAAGTTCTGCTTTCTGTGTCGGCTTTTGCGGATTGTCAGCAAACCCGCTTGCCAAAGGCATGTGCATTCATGCTCTAACTGAATCGCAGGCCATATGACTGACTATGTTCAGGTGGAAATGGTAGAAGAACAGTTAACCAGGCCGTCGTCTTTGTTCAGTACACTTGTGGGGTTTAGGTCAGTGACCGTCATTCTCACGCTCTCCTTTACATATTTTTGAATAAGATTTTTTTAAAAAGATTTTATTTATTTGAGAGAGAGAGAGAGAGAGAGAGAGAGAGAGAGCACGGGCAGGGGGAATGACAGAGGGAGAGGGAGAAGCAGAATCCCCAGTGAGCAGGGAGCCCAACATTGGGTTCCATCCGGGGATCATGACCTGAGCTGAAGGCAGACGCTTAGCTGACTGAGCACCCCTATTTTTGAATAAGATTAAGGAAGGAAAGATCCTTCTTACACTTTCAGCAATGGAAAGAATATTGGACTTAGGGTTGGAAGACCTGGAATGAGATTTCAGCTTTATGTTACTAGTTCTGTGCTATATAGTCAAAATGTGAGGAGTTGGCAAGACAAAGTTTTCTGAGAGAAAATTTATTGGATAGACCTTGTCTGGCAGTACTGGGGACCCACTGTTGACAATTATCTGGGGTGACTGGACTCTGAGAAACTGACTTTTGTAACTAAAATGGTACCTGGGTTTGTGGTAGACTAGGAAGATCAGTTTATTAAGTTATGCTATGTGGAAGGTCATTTTTTAATCAAAAGGAAGGCTCAGGGAGAAGAGTCACCACAGCCAAGGAATGTGGATGATTTTCGGAAAAGTTCCTCAGCGAAAATAGCTTCAGGGACTTCACTGTACAGAGAGATTTGGAGTCTCGTCACTATACCATCTCCTGCATTTCCATGCTGCCCCATTTCCTTTCCAAGGGACATATTCTCTCTTTATTTGTGGCTAATTTATTCAAAGAGGTTACACTTTGCTGGTCTTCCTTCAGTGGCCTTTTGTACATCTGATTATTTAGACATTCATCTTAGGATTTCTCTTCTGTTAATAGATAATGATAATTATGGCCTAATTATTTTAGCTTTAGTCTTTATCAAAAGCAATTCATATTTTCCATTGATCCATTTTGCCTATGACTATATTAACAGTGGTTAACATTTATAATATATATGTGTGTGTGTTTATATATACATATATATACATATATATATACACACACATACACAAAACTTTGTATAAGTTCTCTCACTTGACCTTCACAATAACCCTGTGAGGTATCTGCTATTCTCAATTTATAGATGGAGAACCTGAGAGTTACGTAGGTTAAGGGACAACACAGCGATAAAAATGGAATATAAATTCAGGAGGTTCCATTCCAAGATCTTAACAACCTGACAGCTCTTTCTACCATTTAGTGTCTGAGTTCTGAAATTTGGCTTTACAAATACATCCGTGTGTGTGTGACCTGTGGGTGACCTGAACGTTGTTGAATTCTGATTGGTCAAATCTTTATTGTTAGAATGTTAAATGCTAATGGAATTACAAGAGTGCAGATTTCACAGTTGCTTTCTCAATGAATTGATGTTGCATGGGTTTTATGTTTTCTATTGTTCTTAATACAAAAGCGCTCTCTCTCTTTTTAAAATGTTGTGAGGAAATATCTGAAAAAATCCAGGTGACAAAATGCTCCCAAACACAACGGCTTCCTCAAAAAAACAGACATATTCCTATACAGTAGTTTCCACAAATCAAATTGTATGAATGCTGGGAGAACATAAGAGTGTGGAAGCAAGAGCTCTGAATCATTATGCAGGTTTACTGAGCATGTACTCTGTACCAGATATTGTTTTAAGTTCTGTATGTGTATTAACTCACATGATAATCAAGAAACCCATGGGGTAGCCACTATTTTCATCCCTATTTTACAAATAAGAAAACTGAGGCCCAGAGAGATGAAGCAACTTGGTGTCACAGCTAGTAAGTGGTTGAGCCAGGATCTGAAGCCAGGCGCCCAGTCTGTATTGTTACCACTGTGCTCTCCGGGCGATTGTTGTGGGCTCTCCTGCTTGAAACTCTGTCATCTATTTGTCAGCCTTTTCTGTTCCTGCGCTGGATTTCTTTGGGCTTTCCTCCAGGCTAGTTTTCCCTCGAAGATCCGGGATTGGCTCTGACACCCAGCATAGATATGGGGAAGCTTAGTGGCTGTGATTTATGATCCGTATCTTAGATTTAGATTTAGAGGATCGAATAGGAAGTTTTTCTGTCTGCTGAAACCCTCCTCATCTTTAGATCTCATGATTGTTGATAGAGGGATATAATGAGATAAGCCGAATGTATCAAAGGGGGTTGAAACCGTTTAATGTAAACACAGCTGAGAAGGACTTGTTAAAAAAAAAAAAAAAAGGACATGTAATGGGTCTTACTTGATGCATAGAGAGAAGGAGGCTTAAAGGGGACGGTGATGATAGGTACACTCCTAGCATGCGCACTCTAGGCTAGGCAGAGCTCTCGGTGGAGCGCAGATACTTACAGTCAGCCTAGCTTTGAATGTGTCAAAATGGGGAACTTGAGCCTTTTAGTGATAATGAGGAGAGGTGCAGAGGAATGGTTAACCAGGGAAAGTGAGATGGGCCCACGACCTCTCCCTCTTCCTAGCTGAGTGACCTTGGGCAATTTAACATCTCATGCTGTTTCTTCACGCCTATTATGGGTAAACATTTGTTCCTATCACAGAGGGTTGTTATGAGAATGAAGTGATACAGGAATATAAACGCACGCACATAGTACATGGCAGTACAGCTGGATAAGTTGCTATTGTTATCGACACCGGTATTATGGCCATGGCCACCTGTGACGCTTGTCACCCACAGTAAAGGATCATTTTCTTTCCTCTAGTATCCCTGGAATGCTGGACGCTTTGCCTCTGTTTCTCAGGACAATTCTCAGCTCATCCATTGTTACTCTACTGGGCGGCGGAGGAACTGTACCAGGCGCCCTTTCGAGGACCACAGTCCCTGCTCTCAGCTGGGAAGACAGACGAATGGGGAGGAGAGGAGGGAAGGAGCGAAGAGGAGACCCCGAGACAGAGATGTGAGACGGGCGGCAAGAAGAGAAATAATTTGCAGCAAAACAGAGCCCACGCCTGACGCTCTCTCCATTTCTTGGACCTGGAACGAATTCTTTTACTTCCCAACCTGGGCCGCGCGACGTGGGGCTGAGCGCCGAGTCCTCAGCGTCCCCCTCCCTAACCCTGCTCCCCCTACCTCCCATCCCGGGCCCCGCCCCGCGATTGGCCGGCTCGCCCGGGCGGTCGCCGATTGGCGCTCGCCGGCCGGGTCCACGGGGTTTAAAGAGGGGGCGGGGGCGCAGTGCCCAGCCGCGCCGCTGTCCCCGCCGAACACATAGTGCCGTCGGAGCGTGGCTCTCAGCCTTTCCCGGCCTGCCGCCGCCTCCAGCGTCCCGCAGCCGGCCGTCGCCGGTCAGCCGCTCGCGAGCGCGGGGGAGAGAGGACCCGGGCAGGCGCCGTCCAGTCCCAGGCGCGGGCACAGCTAGTGAGGGGCTAGGCCCGGGGACGCCAGGGTGGCGGCCACGATGGTAGCCACGTGCCTGCAGGTAGTGGGCTTCGTCACGAGCTTCGTGGGTTGGATCGGCATCATCGTCACCACGTCCACTAATGACTGGGTGGTGACCTGCGGCTACACCATCCCCACCTGCCGCAAGCTGGACGAACTGGGCTCCAAGGGGCTGTGGGCCGACTGCGTCATGGCCACGGGGCTGTACCACTGCAAGCCCCTGGTGGACATCCTCATCCTGCCGGGTAAGGACCCCACCTCTGTGTGGCTGCTCCTAACCCTGATTCTCGGGACAGACTGGGGATGGGCGCATTAGACGTTTCCCAGAAACGTATCCCAGAAACGTTTTAAGGCCTTGATGGGCACATTTTTGACACCTTCAGTCCCACCTTGTCTTAAAGGGATTAGGCAGCCCTGAATTTAACTTCTCCCAGCCTCAGTTTCTCTTGTCTGGAATTTGGGATGATAGTAGTGGCCCTAGGCCGAGCCACCCTGAGAAGTTACTGAACTGAGACATGGACACATACTTGGAACTCTGTCCATGTTAATAACTGTCGCCCCACCTACCCCATGCCCCCATGCTCCCACCGCGGTGGGTCCGAAGAACTGTAAGCCCCCCCCCGGCTTTGAGTTAGATCCCACCCGCAGAGCAAGGAGGAGAGAAAAGCTAGCATTCCAGCCATCTGAACAGTCACAAGCTGAGTTTCTCAGGTCTTCGTGGGACTGGTGAGGAGTCCTGGCCAAGTCTGGGCCCTCCCAGTTCCAACAGGTGGGTTTCCGTGGACCCGGGGGCCTGTCTTACTTTCCCCACCCCTTGCCCCCCGCAGTGGGGGCGTAGGTCCGCTCTCCTCCCTGCGTCTGCACCTCTCGGTTCTGATAGGGAAGGGGTGTTGCCTCCCGGAGGACGCGCTCATCCTGCTGGGGGAGATCCGCCGTAGGTCGCTCGCTCCCATCTAGATGTCTCTGAGAGGGTGGAGGAGAGAATTGTCTGGCCTCCACCCCCTCCAACGACAGCTGGCGTTCCCCCCAGCCCCCCATCTTCACTTGCTTCCCCGTGAACAATTCTGGGCAGCGGGTTCAATTCAGATGTAAACCTGAGCCAGTTGGGTGATTGGCTGGGTCGCAGGCTCCCCTTCGGGGTTTTGCTCTTTATCTCTGCCTTGCCAGCGGATTTAGCCTATACACGATTGCCTTCTCTCCTGCTAGCCTTTGAGGATGGTGCATATTTATTTATTTATTTACTTACTTACTTATTTTTAAAGGTTTTATTTATTTTGAGAAAGAGAGAGAGGGAGAGGGAGAGAGCCCGAGCTGGGGGAGGGGCGGAGGGAAAGGGAGGGGCAGAGGGAGAAGCACACTCCCCAGGGAGCAGGGGGCCTAGTGGGGGGGGGGGGGGCCCATCCCAGGCCCTGAGATCATGACCCCAGCTGAAGACAGACAATCACCTGAGCCACCCACGCATCCTGATGGTACCCGTTTAAAGGCCTATCCTGAAAAAAAAAAAAAAAAATGGGGCGCCTGGAAGGCTCAGTTGGTCAAAGGCCTATCCTAGTTTCCTTAATGAGTGGAGTAACTGAGCCCCAATGCCAGTCTGGGAGGCTTTGTCTTTGTGCCATCTGCTGGGGGAGCCTTTAGTTCCCTGGGGACTTTGCTCCCCACTTCAAGCCTCCCCACAAGTGCCTCCTATTTCCCAGTCCTTGTAGTTGGAATCAATCTCCCCTTCCTCCTTGCTGCCCTGGTATTTGAGCCTTATCATCATCAGGGCATATTTCGACTTTTTGTTCATTCTGAGTCAAGTTTTTGTACCACATTATAAATTCCTTAAGGATAGAGATGTCATCCTGCTCTCTTTGCATCTTTTGTACCAGGCATTGATGCTGGAATACAGCTGGTGCACACAGTGCATGTCAGTCCTGCCAAGCACTATCTTCTTTTCCATTTCTTAGAAATTTTTTTTTGTTTGTTTAAATTAACTTCTATACCCAACATGGGTCTTAAACTCATGACACTGAGATCAGTTGTCACTTACTCTATTGACTGAGCCATATAGGCACCGCTTCTACTCCATTTTGAACTATCAGAATGACAGAGGTCCCGGGAACCCAGATCTGCACTCACCTTCACTTAATGGCAGCCTTGGTAGACCTGGGTTAGACTCTGGGAGCCAATGCTCATCATCTGGATAATTTAGAACAATTTACTAGTAATCTCTGGGAACCCCAGTTGTCTTCTTTAAAAATGAAAATGAAACCAGCCACCTCTCTTTCAGAGTGGTTTTGGGGGATTAAATGATATGAGAAATGTAAACCTCCCTTGACGTAGTAGAAGCTTCATAAATTGCTGCTGTAATTTTTTTATTAAAAGCTGGGCATGGCATTTGTAGGACTCTGACTATACTCTTTGTAAGATTACTCTTTTTTTCTTTCCCCCAAAGTTAAGTTTCCTGAGCATCCAGAGTCAAGTGGTTTATTTTCAGAGAACAGACCATTCTACAATGGAGTACATTTTAGGAAGGGTCTAATCCTTCCTGCTATCCCCCTACCTTGCACTTGGGTGGTTATAGGAACAGATCTCGGTCTCCATCTTTTGATTTTTCAGACATGGCCTTGGCCTTGAGCACTTTGACAGCCTGCACCATGAATTTCAAAACCTCAGTTACTAGTTGACTGTCTCTCCTGTGTTCACCTTGGCTTTCCTACAAGCTGCAGGGACATTGGACTTCGGTCAGAGGTTCTGCCGCAGAATCATCTGGCTCTTCCCTAGGGGGGTCTTCAAGTCAACAGACAGTTGATTGATTGTTTAACTTTCATTTTAAAGAAGCTGAGATGGGCAGTGGTTAGAAGAGTAACCCTGAATTCTGGCAAACTAGATCTTGCTAGAAGACAGTGTTGCAGTTGGGGCTTGGTGCACAGGGCAGGCTGGCCAGATTTGGTATTAGAGTCTTGGTGTGTGAGGCAGAAATCGGGGCTCATTTTTGGCTTGGTCTCTAACTCTGCCTCCCTCAGGCCACTAGCCCTAATTCCCTCTGAGTGGAAAAGGGAGAGCAACAAATACAACCCCCTCCTTTTTTTTTTTTTTTTTTGGAGGAGGGAGAGTGTTTTAATGAGAAACAACACATTTAAGTCTGCCATATTCTGCCAGTATATTGTCAGATTTATTTCACATAAATATTGCACATATTGTAATCTGTTTCTTTTCTTTTTTTTTTTTTAAAGATTTTATTTATTTATTTGACGGTGTGGGGGGAGAGATCACAAGTAGGCAGAGAGAGAGGAGGAAGCAGGCTCCCCACCGAGAGCCCGATGCGGGGCTCGATCCCAGGACCCTGAGATCATGACCTGGGCCGAAGGCAGAGGCTTAACCCACTGAGCCACCCAGGCGCCCCTGTAATCTGTTTCTTAATGAAGTTGTTACCTGGCATTTTGTGTGACAGCATAAAGTTCATTTGGTTTTGCTCCACTCTTATTATTCAACTTCTTATTCCTTCGTTCATACTTGTATTTTTTTTTTTTTCATAGTTGTATGTTTATATCATCTGCTGTGGGACTGTGTTAGCTCCACGAAGACCAAGGCAGGTGTCTGTCCTCTAGGAATTCTTGGGGCTGGAGAGATGCCTTTTTTCTTCCTTCTTTCCCTCCCTCCCTTCCTTCCTTTTGTAAAGATTTTATTTATTAACTTGTCAGGGAGAGAGAGAGAGGGCACGCGTGCGCAGGGGGAACAACAGGCAGATGGAGAAGCAGGCTCCCCGCTCAGCAAGGAGCCTGATGTGGACTCAATCCTTGGACTCTGGGATCATGACTTGAGCCAAAGGCAGATGCTTAACCGACTGAGCCACCCAGGCATCCCTGGAGAGACGGCTTTAAAGTGATGGCCGATGGTTGTGGAAGCACGCCCAGGAGACTGGCTGAGGCAGGAGATGGCGCCTGACCATCAGCAGACGTCAGGATTCATGAGCACAGCAGCCTCTGGAGAAAAACCAAGAGAGGAATCCAGAGTCTTAGTTTAGTCCAGTTAGGACCACACACTATATACAATGGGAATTAAAAGCACATGGTTAGGGACAAAATCACCTCGTACACCCGAAGATAAAATGACGGCACTGCCATAGAGAAATAACACCAATAATAACACTAATCTTTTTGGAATACTTCATATGTGCCAGGCACTGTTCTAAACACTGCATGAGTTAACTAATTTAATCTTAGTTGAATTCTTTTAGAGAGATATAAGCAGTATGACCATTTCTTCATGATCAATGAGGAGAGCCCTTGGTAACTTGCCTGCAGTCACCCAGGCAGAACGTATCAGCAGCAGGCTGGAATCAGCACAGACCATCACAGAAGGTATCTGGGAGGGCTTGAGTTTTAATCTGACTCTTTTGTAAGGTGATGTAATGGTAAGGTGATGTAATGGTGTAGTTGGACTCTTGGCCCCTTAGATCTTGGGAGCCAGACATCTCCACTCAGTCTCTCCAGCCTCCAGCCTCCCTTGTTGGTCACTTTAAAAGTTGAACATGTGGGGTGCCCGGGTGGCTCAGTGCATTAAGCCTCTGCCTTTGGCTCAGGTCATGATCTCAGGGTCCTGGGATCAAGCCCCACATCAAGCTCCCTGCTCAGTGGGGAGCCTGCTTCCCCCTCTCTCTCTGCCTGCCTCTCTGCCTACTTGTGATCTCTCTGTCAAATAAATAAATAAAATCTTTAAAAAAAAAAAAAAGTTGAAGATGTGAAGTGATCTTAGACAGCATTTACATGGAATTACCTGGAATGCAGCCAGAGGAGAGCGGATGGTGTTGAATTCCCTTGAGCCATGGTGTAGGATCCAAGGGGACCCTTGGCTAATGCTCCTGTCTGTTCTCTTGTGTCCAGGCTATGTCCAGGCCTGCCGAGCCCTGATGATTGCAGCCTCGGTCCTGGGGCTGCCGGCCATTCTCCTGCTGCTGACGGTTCTCCCCTGCATTCGAATGGGCCATGAGCCTGGTGTGGCCAAGTACAGGCGGGCTCAGCTGGCTGGTGTACTGCTCATTCTGCTGGGTAAGAGAGCTTTCTATGTAGCACCCCAACTTGGAGTGAACCTGATGAATCTCAGATCTTGCTGCTGCTTCATTGAGTTCAAGAGGCATGGGAAAGGCAGCCAGGTGTATCCACCCGGGAAAACCCCCCGTAATGTGTATCTCTTTATGTTTCATGGGTTGTTGAGGCAGAGGGATAAGTAATGTCTGCAGGGGTCACTGGACATGAAAAAAATTAAAAAGCAAAAGGAAGAAAGGGTTTTGAGGGTATACTTAAGAGAGACCAGGGGACAGGAGAGAGTGACACAGTGGGTGTCCACTCAGGCTTCACAGTGGAATCCCTTTCTTGGGAACACCTCTGCCCAGATCCCAGCATTCGGAATTACTGGACATCAGGCCAAGCAAAGTGGGCTTTTTGAAAGCTTCCAGGTGATTCTTATTTGTAGTTACAGTTGAGACCTTCATTTAATATGTAAAGAAAGGGTAGAGGGGCGCCTAGGTGGCTCAGTGTGTTAAGCCTCTGCCTTCGGCTCAGGTTATGATCTCAGGGTCCTGGGATCGAGCCCTGCATCGGGCTCTCTGCTCGGCAGGGAGCCTGCTTCCTCCTCTTTCTCTCTCTGCCTGCCTCTCTGCCTACTTGTGATCTCTCTCTGTCAAATAAATTAAAAAAAAAAAAAAAAGAAAGAAAGGGTAGAGAAAAAGGAGGGCAAGAGAAAAGAAAGATGCAGAGGGTGGTAGATCACTACTGATGATTCAATTATTTTATTTTGTTTTAAGATTTTATTTTTAAGTAATTGCTACACCCAATGTGGGGTCCAAACTCACAAATTCAAGATCAAGTGTCACATGCTCTACTGACTGAGCCAGGCAGGTGTCCCTTAATCTTTTTTTCAGTAAGGACTCATGGAGCATCTGAGGGCCAGGCATCATGGTTGGCACTGAGGACACAGCGGGAGAAAGGCATTCTCTGCTTTGAGTGTCCCTGGACATCTCGATAGAGTGTGGCATGGGCTCATCTAAAAATGGCTCAGAGGGTGTGCACACACATAGGAAGGAACCTGAGCCAGACTGGAGGAGGTTCCCAGAGCAGGGGAAACCAGTGATGAGTGTTGAGCGTTGAAGAGAAGGTAGTCAGATCATGGATTGAAGGGAGGATGGGGGGACGGCCCCAGGCCAAGGAAATGGCATGAGCTCTCTCAGTTTTCCTGGTTGCACCTGCACACAGAGGGTTTAACAACCTAGGGAGGCTCCTTCTAGCTCTGCTCTTTTCAGTGATTTCATTTCATTCTACTTTTTTTCTTGAATGCTAATTCCACCAGCATATCTTAAGTCCTAATAGAAGACATGAATTTTAAGAACGCCAGCTCTTGTTGCAAAGTGCACTGATACATTCCTGAACAGCAGCTGGTCTGTCTGTGGGTTAGGCATAGCGTCAGCTTCTCCTGAGTCCAGGAATTCCCATCCCTCAACTGGTATCAGACTAGATGTTGAAGGGGAAGGGGAAGGGTCAGCGTTCTACATGGGTCAGTGCCACTAAGTAATGGTTGGCCACAGTGACTTTGGTGAGGTAAGGGGACGTGAGAGGGAGGGGTGCTATTTCACAAGACTGCAAAGGGATGGAGGTTTTCAGGGACTTGTGAAGCCACAGAGAATTCAGAGGAGGGGCTTGTGTGGGTGTGTGTGGGGCTGAGCAACAGGAGTGAAAAGACCAGAGGACCACTGTCATTTCCGGAGAAGAATCTGGGCATGGACATTTTGGTTCCAGGCACAAAGAATCTGTGTGGGAGCGCCACAGGGAATACAGGATCAGTATCAGGTGATTCCCCTAACGCACAGGGTCCTCTGTCACAGTGTTTTTGGAGGTCAGATCTTTACATTCATATTCCCTTTCCAACGGTTAGAGCAAAGCTCTACAGGTAAATTGGTGTGCGGAATCCAGGAGGAAACCTTTCTCATTCTAGGCAGTTGCCATTGTTACCTGCCTCACATGAGGCTCTCTCTGTCTCTGAGGATGCCAGACCCAGCGGGTGAATTTGTTGGGTTAGGTGTTCATTTTTAGAAATTCTGGCCTTCCGTATGAGAGTCATAGAATATCCACTAAGAGAATATATGGAAAAGAAAAAAAAAAAAACAAAATAAAACCCAAACCCTGTGGAAAATAAAGATATAAAATCAAGTATGTATGGATGAGTTGGTATTCAAAAAAACCCTAAAAACAACTGAATCGTCTGAGTGAGTAATGAGGCATATCAAAAGAACAGTAACAACCAGTTGTCTGAAACTTCCTAGCTGAATTGAAGTTTTTCTTTATCTTTTCCGAGTGGGTTGGTTGGTATATGTGCACAGAATCGTAGAGAGGAATGTGAGGTGGACCGGCAGTGGTGTGAGTTCCTTAGTCCCCCATTACTGCCTGGAGTGAACACATGGAGGGCCTTTGAGGGCTCGGACTCTCTCAGGGCGGCTGCAGCCTTCTGGCCACTCACTATCAGGGTGGAGTGAGCACGCCACCCCCTACCCTCTTGTAGCTTTGAATTTCCAGTGTTACCTGCTGCCTCTTTGACGGCTCCTGTCGGATTTATTTCTCAGTGGGTCACGGCTTGCCTTCAGGTTGGATGTTGTTTTGACTGGAACCAGTCGTGGCACCCGCTGGCCCCTCTGGGTCTTCTCTGGAGCCTAGTGCCTCGGTTCCCCTGTTGGCAGTGGGTGGGAGGAGCTAGAGTGAGTGAAAGCTCCCTTTGTGTTGCTTGGGATTGGCTTCTAATGCTCGCCCCGGGAAGCCAGTGCTGGGCCCTCATTGGATCCTAGGGGTCACCAGTGATGCCCCAGTTGAGGTGTGGTCCCTGACCAAAACGGACTGGACAGCACTGGGGGTTTGGGGCCTGGGAACTAAAAACAATACCGAAGCTAATCTGGGTATGGAAACTGTAAGCACTATTAATTAAAGTCAGTTCTTCCTGACCCTAAAAAGTTTTATTTTTCCACAAGCTTAAAAAATCATGTCTGTTGTACAATAACTTTATCTTCTCAATAGTTTTAAGTTTAATGGTGTGAGGATTTGGTCCTGCTTTGGGGGAAGGAATGGGAGCCTGATGTAGCTGACTCCTCAGAGCTAGGATGGATCCAGGTGAATCTCATCTGTGTCTTTTCAAGAGCCCCTACCAAGACAGGAGGTGCCTATGCCCTGAGCTGCTTTATCTTGTCACTGGGAATGGGACCAACTGTACGGAATCTCAGATCTCCTACTTTCCAGCTGTATGAACTGGGGCAGTTACTTAATGTCTCTGAGCCTTTATATTAAATGAGGTAATGCTTATATCTGAGGTTGGTAAGAATAGTGTAAGGAGGTATGCAAATTATTTAGCCCGGTGTCTGGCACATAGTAAGTCCTCAGCAAATGGTTGCTATTATCATCGCTACTGTTATCAGTCCTCTAACCATAGAGGAAATAGAGAGCTAACCCAGAGGGCCATTGAGTATTCTTTTGATCATGTCTGATTCCTGCGGGGTAATCTCCATATGTGACACTGGTCAGGAGAGTCAGGGAGCTGTTCCTGGAAATGCTTGGTCCTCTCCTGATCTAGTGGATACATTCCATTGTTTACTTTGTAAAAACCAGATCAATAAATAGTTGGGAGTTTTTTTGCCCATCCCATCATAAGAAGTCATGTAAAACTACCCACCTAAAAATGGTCAGGCTCAGTTCTGGTCTGATCTCATTCTCACCTCACTGCGACTTAGAAAGTACTTGATTGAGGTGTTTCTTGGGGAGACGGGGTAGGGAGTGGAAGGAGAGGAAGTATATATTCCTCCTTCCATGGGTTCCTCTCATTTTCTCTCCTCCTCTTTCAAATTATGGCCCTAGGAATCGTATTTTGTTAAAAAAAAAAAAGCTGTTTTAACTTGGAACTTACAGGTCAGTAATGGAATTGCAATAAAATAAAGGGTGTTTGCAACTGTGGGAGAGATTGATCTTGTCATGCATGCAGAATCAGATGTCCTAGGAAAGGCCACCCTTCAGTGTGGAGTAAATAGTGATGCCCTCAATCCTGGAGTCTTAAGAGAATAGATGGAAAGAGCCTTTCTCTAAACTCATTAGCTTTACACAAACAAGCTCATAATGTAAATCAAATTTCATATGGGTAGTGGAAAGGTTGTGGGATCTTTAGTATGGTTGTGACTTAAAATGGCCCTTTCGGTACACTTGGAAGAATTAACTGCTTTATGAAGTCTCTCCCATCTCTAAGTTCTGTGACTAAAAAAAAAAAATTAACAAATAACCACGGGACCAGCTTTTAAAAAAAGTTATGGGAAAAAAAAAGATAATGATGTGTGAAATAGAAATAAAAGGAAAAAATGTTGACAGCAGGCCAGGAAAATAATGTAGTCAAATATTCCATTGACCTCATGATTGTTTTAGATATTAGATCTTCATAAAAGTCGTTGTGTAAGAGGAGTATGTCCTTTGGCAGCTATGTTTTCTTAAGTCAAAATTTAGAGAATCACAAATTAAAAAAAAAAAAAGAAAAACTAAAATTTTTCTAGATTCAGATTATCAGGACACAACAAATAAATACGACCCCAACAGCTCGTTAGAAATCTTTACTTGTTGCCTTGAGTTAATTGGAACAAAGCTAAAGTTAGTTGCTATTTAGATCATATAATAGCATCAGTTGTAGAAGGCAGCAATAAGTGCATTGTCAAATGTTTAAATAGAGGGAGATTGATTATTTATTTAAAAGATTTTATTTATTTGACAGAGACAGTGAGAGAAGGAACACAAGCAGGGGGAGTGGGAGAGGGAGAAGCAGGCTTTCCAATGAGCAGGGAGTTGATATGGGGCTCCAACCCAGGACCCTGGGATCATGACTGAGCCACCCAGGTGCCTTGGAGAGAGATGTAAAAAATAGTTTTTATTGTGGAAAATTTCATATGTATCCAAAAGTAGAAAAAATAGTATAACCCAAACTCATTCTCAATAATGATGAACTCATGGCTAATCTGTTTCATCTATGTATTTTTTTTCTTCCAGTCCCCAGAGTTTTTTTGAAGCAAATCTCAGATATAATATCAAGGAAGATTTTCTTCCAGTATTACTTATATCATTCAGAGTAATTTATGTGATTTTAATGGAAATATTTCTTTGTGCCAGAAATAATGCTTTTAAAGGTACTGTCAGTTCTTAGTTCGGAAAGTGACAAAGCCTGAAATCAGAGGTGTTCATTGGAGAAAGGAAGAAATAACAATCTGGGCTCTTCTGCCTTTTTGGGCCTCTTTGTCAATCTTTTTCTCTCTCTCTAAATCGCCTTGAAAGTCAAACACACATTTACTAATTTTATTTAACTTCATCAAGTTTATTTAACTATGTTACTATGTGTCATCTAATCCCTAAAGAAATAAAAAGCTGCAAGTACCTTTCATGGCTCTACAGTTCCCTCTCCAACTATTTTCTGTGTTTGGCTACATGAGGATCATTGTTAATTTAGTAAGGCTGTATTCTATGAACTAATGAACACATTGTATTACATTATTTGAAACTTACCAAAAGAGGCAAACAATTTTATTCCATGAAGAGAAGGGAGTTCTACTTGTGAGAGCACCAAGTCCGGAAAAATCTGTATCTACACAGTGAAACCTTCTTCTTCTCTGCTCTCCTCCACCTCCTCCTTTTCTTTTCCTTTCTTTCCTTCTCTTTTTTTTCTTTTCTTTTCTTTAATATTCTTTTCTTTTCTCCTCCTCCTCTTCCTCCTCCTTCTTCTTCCCTCCTCCTCCTTCTCCTTCTTCTCAATTTTCACTTTCTGCTCCCTCCCAAATGACAGATTCCTGCCCCCCCCCATGTACAGTTAACTGTTGCATCTTTGGAAGGTAGAAGAGGAGAAATAGATTGAAAAATCTGAGTTACTGTTAGAGACTTACTTTAAAAATACATCGTGTTGACATGAAAAGAAAAGCAACGAAGATTCTCTTTCTTTCTTCAATTTTCTTTGCCTTATGCATAACTGACTTTTTTAGGAAAGCATTTTCTTTATTTTCTCCAAATAATTGGGAGAAGCATTATAAACTGTGTGTGTGTGTGTGTGTGTGTGTGTGTCTGCAAATAGAAATAAATCTAGCCAGCCTTCTATATCATTAAAAAAGCCAAAAATTATTGCCAGTTTATTAATATTTCACATCTTTTAGTTAAGTAATGACTTAACTTGCATTTTAACTTCACTGATGGAAATATCCCCCTTTCCCTTCAAACCATGCTGAAATTGAGTAAAGTTTTCTTTTTTAGTTTCTAAACATTATTCATTCTGAGTTCACTTGAAGGTCACTGTTTCCAGCAAACCTCTCATTTCCCTTCATGTTGTGTGGCGGCCTGTCATCTTTTAGTGGTTTTGATGTGGTTCAACTTTGAGAGCCACAGGAATCCACCCAGAGTTCATTTATCTACTAGGAAATAATGTGACCCTGCTGGCGCTAGTTTGCCTTGTTTTGCATGGATTATAAAAGAAGGAAGTCTTTAATGAGGTAAATCATGAGCTTGTAACTTTAAGTGTGTTAAAGTCACATTATAGTTTTATGATTTGGAAAGTCAGTTTTGATGTGTTTGAAGTGGAAAGTAGACTTGAAATGAGACTGTCATCTGTCCATCCACCTGTTCCCCCATTCAGTCCTCTAGGTTCGTTATTTAAGCATTCAGACATTTTCCTGATGTTTCCTTCTTCTAGTGAATTATATTAGAATAAAATCTAACAAAATCCCTAAAACAATTGAAATCAAGGCTGATGATTATTTTTGGAATATTGAGCCAGATTCTTTCCCCATGTGAAGATACTCTCATTATTTTGCTTAGGAAGAGGGGAAGAACTAGGCAATTTCTTATTTTATATGTACAAATCATATATAAAATATATATATCTTTATTTTATAAAATCTGCAGCAAATCTGCATTTGAGTTAGGTTTACATGAAGTGTGGGGAATCCTTGTGCGCGTGTGTGTGTGTGTGTGTGTGTGTGTGTGTGTTGTATGTATAATACGAAGTAACTGAAAAATATAAAACTTAATTTGAACCAGAAGCTGTTTTGAAACCAGGCTAATTGTTTATGGGAAAGATCAGTTGAATTGAACCAAATCAGTTGTTTGGGAAATCAGATATATTTTTTTTCCTATGGAATTCAGCTATTCCCTCCCCACCTTTTCCTTCTAATCAAGCTTGGGTATTTGAAAACCTTTGCTAGGTTGCTGTTTTGCTCAAGCAGAATGAGCTCCAGCCCCTCTTTGGGGGTCTAGGGTATGTAGCTGGATTGTGTATTGATATGAAGAAGCTAGCACAGTTCTCTCTGGCTGAAACACTCTGAAGGAGTTTCTATTTCTTGTCCTGACTCAGAGAAAAGACTTTCTTTTTTTCTCTTCTTTCTCTGTGTCTTGCTGAGGGTATGACTCTGACAGGAGCCAAGCCGTTCTCAGTGAGGGCAGCATTTGGAATGTGTGGCTGGAGGAAGAGAGAAAAAGACTTTTTCCCTGTACCTCAGGCATTTGAGCCCCTAGGCTGGAAAGGAAGATTCAGTTGATACTGGTCTTTTTGAGAACACTTGTTCACGGAAGGACAATATATCACCACATAGTATCTCATACAAACCTATTACAGAACTTGGCATGATTGTTCTTACTCTTTAAGAAAAAATGAAGCCATTAACATATGGATAGATTTTTGCTTCTTATGTAATTTATAAGAACTTCTGAAATAGTGAATAGTTCATGATTAATGGAGTGAATTTAGGCTCTTAGAAAGCCAATTTGAGCAACTAAAACCCCCCAAATTAGCTTTCTTTCCTCTAACTTCTACTAGGGATCTATGCTTTTTAATAATAGGAATCATATCTGTCTATGTGTATTTATGCCCAGCTTGTGGGGTGGGCTTAGTTTATTGTCAACAAGAGCCTCTTACAAGCTACACAAATGCACTGAGATGGCTGAAGAGGTCTTTCCAAGTGGGTAAGACTTCAATCTTCTCTTCAGTTTAGAACTAATGTATGAGGCTGTTAGATTTGAGTGCTTCTGTTTAAAGAAAAATTATATTTCTTCTCTGTGGGCGTAGAGGTAAGTCAGAAAATCACTCAGTGTGAGTGATTCTATCAAATTCTGATTTCCATCAGAAACGCTTGCTGAGTTGAAAGTGACAAGGATCCTCCAGGTAGCAAATGTCGCAGTGCCCTGCCTTGAATTTATCGAAGGCTCTATGGCTAATGATTGGCAACCTCATCACGATTATTTTCTTGATCTGCCAACTTTAATGGGTCATCCCAATTTCAAGCTTCAACTAAAATTTCTCTCCTGCTTGTGGCTGTGAGAAATCAGATGACAGGATGTGATGGAGTTCCTTTGTCTGGAGTTGTGCTGTTCAGCCCATTAGCCACCAGCCACATGGGGTTATTTAAATTTTAATTAATTAAAATTCAGAACACGGTTTTTTGATCTCACTAGCCCCATGAGAAACTTTTAAGAGCCCCTGTTGCTTGTGACTGCCTTATGTGACAATGCCGGTGTAGTGGTTTAAATATTTTTTTAACATTTTCATAGGCTCCTGCCTGTCCTTGTTTTGCTAGGTTGCTTAGGAGGAGGGGAAGAACTAAATGATGCAGAAGCTCTTTCTTATCCTGCTCTTTAAAACCTAAACCAAGTCTGAAAATTAGACTGGTTGGTGGAAGACCATAAAATTCTGCCATTGTGACTCATCACAACAGATATCATCACCATAAAATCCTTGCACGGGTGAATTCTTTTACTCCGAGCATTATTTGTGTGTTTGCAAACAGTGTAACACAAACTCAGACTCTTAGCTGATACTCGACTGATGTCTGGCAACAGTCCACCATGGTAAGAGAACTCTCGGAGCTTCTTCAAGGTCTTTGTAATATGAATTGACCAAACTGAGAAAACAGAGTGGAAAAATGAGGTGGGCATCCTTTTGTTTCTCATTTCTGAATACATCAGGCCATCTAGTCATTCAGCTAGTGTGTACTGAGCACATACTCTGTGCCTCAGAGTGAGGTAAACACTGAGTCTACAAGCATAAGGAGGACATGGCCCTTGCCTTCAAGGAACTCAGGACTTGGCATGGGAAATAGACATGTAAAGAAGTAATTATAATACGATTAGGTAAGCGTCATCATAGAATTCTAAGTATAGATACATAAAGTGAAGATACGTAAGTAAACGCAAATACCCATTTTTTGGCTTCAGTGATTTATTTCTGGGCTTTTACTTTGGAGTTTTTGGTGTCTGCCGCCTGTTGAAAAAATAAAGGACCTAGCAGTTTGACCCAGCTTTGGATCGGCTTATTAAACAGATGCAAACCTATGGGCTTGGATTGGGAGCAGAGTTGTGTGTACGGAGCTTTTTGGAGTTGGCTGAAAGCTAAGGGAGCGTGTCTGCAGAGTGAAGGGGAGCCTGCCCGCTGTGCTTGGTGTGGGACAGGCATGCCCGGTCACAGCTCTCTTTTGTCTCCCCAGCTCTCTGTGCCATCGTTGCCACCATCTGGTTCCCCGTGTGCGCCCACCGCGAGACCACCATCGTGAGCTTTGGCTACTCCCTGTATGCGGGCTGGATCGGGGCTGTGCTGTGCCTTGTGGGTGGCTGTGTCATCGTCTGCTGCGCTGGAGATGCCCAGTCGTTTGGTGAAAACCGTTTCTACTACTCTTCGGGCTCCAGCTCCCCGACTCATGCCAAGAGTGCCCACGTATAAGAGGGCTGCTGCCTGCCCACCCAGGTGCTGCAGATCCTGGGCCCATGGCCCCGGGGTTTGCTTGCCACAGGCGGGAGAAGCCCACTCCACTGCCAGGCTCCAAAGCCAAAGTTGTAGAAAAGCATCCCGTCTGGCATTTTTTAGTCTTAATACCCCCTCCCCATTTGTTGCCTTAAAAGAGATCTTAAGTTCAGAAAATGCCCACACACTTTTCTCATGGTTTTGCCCATTAATAGCTCTTTTCTTGGGCATTCCTTTGTTGTTCACCTATATATATATATATATATGTATATGTATATGTATATATATTTTCTCTCTTTAAATTTTAAATATCTTGCAAACATTGCTGAATTGAGTGTAGGGAGAGAAATAAAAGACACTTTTCAAACTGTTACAGATGACAATGGGAGCCTCATAAAGATGCCTCTCTGTTCGCTCCCTCCTCTTCTGCTCCAAGGTCATTTAGTTATAAGCGATAGAGAAAAATAGAACCGGGGATGTGGGGTGGGGAGGGAGGGGATTGTGGAACTTTCCCTCCATGGGAAACTTCCCTTTTGTAAGTTGAGGGCGAGGGTGGGGATATTTTTTAGTTTGTGATTTTACATTTATCTGTACATACTTTTTCAAGATTGATCATTTTTATAACCATGGTTTTCCTGAAATTCTCAGTTCATCAGTATGAAGGAAATGAACCAAATAAGCTTTAATTATATGATAAATAACAGTCCAAGCGAATATAACTCTAACTGACATACCACAAAATAGTTTTGATTTCTGGGTTTGTATGATGTAGTTTTTAATCCTACACTTGCATTTGCTTCAACTTAACACATTTTTAAAGCTTTTTCCCCTTTCTCTATTTTCATTTTGTTAGCCATCTTGCGGTGGTGTTGTTTAACATAAATCATGCTGTTGAATTTGGCTTTACGGGTGTAAACACTGATGGTGTATCAGTATCCAAGACCCCAAACTCTCCAAACAATGATGGTGCATTTTGTTCTTTAAGTGAAACCCATGCAATAAAATAACAGACTGTGTGCAAAAGTGGCCTCCATATTCTGTCGTGTCCAGAGGGGCCATCTATCAATTTTCACCGATTTCATTAATTTCTACTAGTAATTTATAGGGAACCTGGTCGTGACTCAGGAACAAGGCATTTCTGTGCCTCCCTGAATAAAAACATTTGGTCTTATTCACTGGACCACAGTGGTCCTGTGTGGTCATAAACGTGAAATCTTGGTGCTCTGTAGGTTTCTTTAGTGGAGTGAGGTTACAGCAACTTTGAGTCATACATAAATAATCAGAAACCAAGTCCCTAGTATTACACAGATAAACGCCTTCATCTACTTTGAACACTTAGTAAAGAAACTGACTACGTATAAAGGAAAGTATAAAACAAACCCCCTATATTGGATATTTTGGTGATAATATCTATATGCAATTTCCTCAAACATATGCACATAGAAGTTTGGAAATTTTAGACAAAGATAGACATATCAAGTTAATTCTTGTTTGCTTTCTATTCCAGAAACTCTGTTAAGTTATGAATCTGCTCTAAAAAACACAGATTACAATCTACTTTGGTGGTGTTTTTCTGAAAATATTAATTTCATTAGCTGATAATGTAATAGGCAAACATTTCCTCTTTGAAAATATCCATTTGGGCTAGTCATTTTGGTAGGTATTTGAGTACATTAGGTGATTATAACTATTTCTAAATTACTTATGCAGAAGAGACAGTCTTCATGTTGACCCAAATGTTTGCTTAGTTATGATAAGGTTTTATAAGGATATAAGTCATGTAATTGTATTAGAGGACTTGCTCTAATAAAAACTTGTCAGAGTGTAATGACTGTGAGCTTGAATGGAGCAAAAGCATCCAGGGGGTATGGACAAGGCCCCACATACCCTTTCCTTAGCACTGTTGGCTTGAATCTCAAGTGTTTCAGCTGATTCTTCTCCTCCCCATAAGGATGTATGTACTCACTCAGCTGCCCCGTTCCCTAAGGCTGCTGCTTGCTTTCTCACCTGAGGGGGTACGTACTCTACATGAGCTCACTTTTCTGTGCAGTGAGAGAAGAGACACTCCAAATCTCTCCTAGCTGATCGTTGCCTGCTTAGTTAGGAAATCCCATTTTGTAGGTCATAACTACAGGTTTGGGTCTTACTATCTGTGCTAGAGAGGGAGGGATGGAGGGAGGGGTAGCTCTTCCTCCAGAACAGCACTGTCCAGTAGAAATATAGTATAGCCACATATGTCATTTAGAATTTTTTATAAGCCACATTAAAAGGCTAAAGATGAGCAAGTGAAAATAATTTTAATATATTCTGCTTAATCCAACATATCCAGAATATTGTCATTTTAATATGTACTCAATTACTAATGGGGTATTTTATGTCCTTCTTTTTGTATTACGTTTTTTGGGTTCCAGTGTGTATTTCTTACTTACAGCATGTCTCCATTTGGACTAGTCACAACTTCAGGGCTCAGTAGCCACATGGGCTAGTGGCTATTGGATTGGACAGCGCAGCTATAGAACAACAGGTTCTATAACAGCCATCAGCAAGAGGGAGTCAGTCTTGATGATTTTGTTTGTTCTCGGTGGAACCTGGTGATACAGTGACAATAATTGTCGCCCGGGGAAAACAGTGACCCCCCATCACAGGTAAAATAGCAGACCCACTGTGTTCTACCTGAATAAGCGGGGAAAGGGAATTCATGCTCTCAGGACCTGTTGTGTCTGGACTTTCACACTTCTAATCTTCCCCACTGTCCGCACTGTATAGAGAAGAACATGGGAAGTAGAGAATTCAGGTTGTTGAGTTCATATGGCCCCTAGAGGGGAGTAAAATTGGATTTAAGTCTATCTAATTCTGAAGCCCTCCTACTCTCATTTATGATTCACTGCTAGAGGTCAAATAAAATGCAGGTTTGTTCTCCTAACCTCCAGAGACCTCTCAGTCGTTCTGGGCTGGTACCCAGGAATCTGCATTTTGCTTGCACACCTGTTGGTTCTGATGCGATGGTCCTCTTGCCCCACTTGAGCAACAGTGAGAGGAAGGACCTCTTCCTCATGCCTTTTGATCGTGCAGCTGGCCACCCCCCATCTGCTTTGATGGTCCCTGGAGGAGAGATGAGTTTGAGACATACATCCAGCTTTCTCCCTTTTTGGCCTTTTCTGAAGAGACTACATGCAGGGGATCTTTGGGTTGAAATGAACTGGTTGTGTTCATGCTTTCCAAGAATATGATAGCCACCAAATTAGAGAAAAAATGTTTCAAGGAAATCTCTGCATCTAGGGATGCCAGTTACAACAACAGCAACAAAAAAAGAGAAGATTGTGTACTTAACGAATAAAAGTTACATATTTGTGCTGAATTGGTGGTTTGGAACAACAATAGAACAAAGTTTGGTTGTATCTTGGCCCTGCGTGTGCGTTTTTTTTTTTAAATTTCAAATCTGCCCGTCAGTGTTTCTCTATACAATGTACACAATGTGAACTGCAACATCTTAAATGTTTGGCAGGACATTTGTGCTCATGACATCACATGCTGGGAGGACAGGGAGGCCACTGTAGGGCCGGCCCTGAGGAGAGGCCACATCAGTGCTGCCATTGAGCTGTGCCCACAAAAGAGTGTGTGACAGCCAGATGTGCAGCTTAATGGAGACTGACCCAGAATTGTGGGGGGAGCCTTGGCACATGCTGCTTAATGGCTTGAATAGCAGCTCTTGAGGAATCTATGTTCCTCTCCCTCACGCAGACTCTCAGAGCTCGGGCTTTGTGGCCCTGTGGCCGGGGGAGGGAACGGAGATGGGGGGACTTGTCACTGCTCCATGCCCCATTGTTGAAATGAAAAACGTGGAAATGTTAAGCCATTTCTAGAGGATTCTGGATTTTGGAAGGTGGGAATTGCTTCTGCCGTACCTCAGAATTCACTTCCAAATAGTAAAGGGCACCCAGTTGTCATGGCCTGGGGCCTTTCTTGATTTAAAACAGTTTTTTCTCTTGTGCTGAGTTATAGAGAGCTGAGCTTCTCCAACTATAACGTGCATACAGATCATGGGAGTGGAGGTGTGGGGAGTTTTGTTAAAATGCAGATTCTGAGCCCACAGATCTGGGGTGGGGCCTGGGATTCTGCATTTTGAACAAGCTCTCGGGAGATGCTTTTGGCATAGACTCGCACCTGGAGTAATACATTATATAGAAAAATGAGACAAGAAAAGAAAAAATTACCCATCATTTCATCATTAGAGCAATTTTATATATAAATATATATATTATATGTATATAATATATATATATGGCCATTGTTTCATTGTAAAACAAAAATCTCTAACATACTATACATATAGCTTATAATCTACTCTAAAAAAACTTAATATGTAGAGAACATTTCTTTATATCATTAAATGCTTTTCTGAAACAAAAATTTTACTATCTCCATAATCTTCCATTGTTTGGATGTACAGTAATTTACTCAAGCATTTCCCAAGAATATCTCAGTTATCTCAGTTCCTTTCTAATTCTTCAAAGCAATTTTGCCATGAACATCCTTCTAGGTAAGTCTGGCACATACACATGATGATCCCTTTAAGACTGAATCCTAGGAGGAGTGGCGGGTCCCATATTCCAGCCAGCGTTTTAGGACCAGTCCATTTTTTTGATAAAGGGGCACCTTGAGTGACCCAGGTCTTATAATAGGTTGCAGTTTATCAATGTAATAAATGCTGTTTGAGAAAACTTATTTGAGATATTTAACATTTCAGTTATGTTGATATGGAATTATACAAAGAAATACTGGTAATAAACAGTCAATGGAAATATTCCAGATCACGATGGGAGAAAAGGCATGAGAGGGGAGCTTGCTCTGCGTTAAATTCTGCTTCAGTTGACTCTGGTCTATAGGGAGTGCAGACATGAGCATTTATCTCCAGGAGACCTTGTGTTGCGATGCCCTGGTTAGGAGTGGGAAGTTTTGGGAGCATGGCTTGCTGAATCATTATTCCTTGTTGTATTTGCCAGCCCTCTTCCCCCAATAATCTATTAAACATGACACAGCAACAATAAAGCATGGTAAAAATGAATCACTTGCCCTTACCCCAAACTTTCTAAATGTTAACCCTCTGCATATGCTAGAAAGAGAATTGACCTGGGTTCCCTTGTACTGCTTTTGTTTATTATGTATTGACAAAGGGTCAGAAAAAATGCACATAAAGCAGAGCTTCTAAAGGCATGAAAAGGCCCAGGACTATTGGGGATGAAGGCAGCCTGGGACCTTTGGGTG